GTTCTACTAGATTTTAATATCCATTATAGGAGGAAATAAATTGTGGCATAGCATAGAATTTTAATTCCTACTCCTTTCTGAAATGTCTGTTCATTAATGATTATATGTGACATTCCTACTTGTATAAAGTTAGTTTTAGAGAAAGGTGGGCTTCCTGGTGGCTAGTTTAGTGTGCCATAGCCGGGGATGTGTGGAGGCTAAGTCCTGCTGATGGTGAGTGCACATTAGACCCCACCCTCTCAGTGGCACAGTGAGTGGCTTGAAATCATGAGGCAGCACTAGTTCTGCTAGTCTGCATCTTTCCCTCCAGAGATGCATGTTCACCAGCACTCCACTGTTGAAGGCTATGAACTGACACTCAAGTTATAACATAAATGGGAAAAAGACTTGGGCGAAATTTAGAGGAGGGGCAGAAGCAGATCGCATGTTGCCTTAAGTAGCAGTTTATATTTGGAAAACTAGTATCACCAAAATAATTGTTCTGGAAGCATTTAAAAACACTAGTGTTGGTATGCTGAAGGTAGAGGACAGGGTTTGCTGCATTATGGAGGAAGACCCACGCCATCCTGAGGAAGTCGCTTCAGTGCAGCATCCAAATTCTATCCACAAGAGGCTCAAGACACACACACCCCATTTCCCACATTTCTACAGTCCAGAAGCCAGAATCAGCCCAACTCCACCTGGGCTCAAGACCATTCTTTCTCTGCCTTTTCTGGCTATGGTGTATGCCTGCCATCTTTTCCTCTATTCCTCCCATTCCTGCTCTACCTGCACATGGCATTGATGAGATCTAGCTTCAGTGGGCTCAGTTCCCTGGTCTCCAGGCAGAGTGCAGGGATAGCTGGGATCCTGCTCTTGTGGACATATCTGGACTTCACATCCTAATGATAAGGAACATTGTGGTGGTGGTGACATTGCTTCTGTGGAACATATGGCACCTCATTTCGGTCTTGGAATGCTTGGTGGGACCCAAGGGATCTCTTTTTGGAGGTCGAAAAATGTGTCAGTGTAATGCCAGATTTGGGGGACCCTAAAAGATCATCAGAAGCCGAATCTGATGCAAGCACACAGAGTCTTTATTGCAAGCTTAAGCCTGGACTCACAACCGTTTCCGATGCAGCGGTTCCGAGGAATGAGTCCCGGTCCTTTGTTCAGTGAGATTTTATAGTTTTTTTGGATACTCTAAGCATCACACAGCAAATCATTCCATACCATGGGAAAATCAAACAACAACTCTTAGCATTGATTACTACATTCAATGGCGGGAACAAGTTGGGTAGGGGTTATTGATTAGTACAAGAGGTGGATTTGTTTGAACTGATTGGTTTAATCCGTGAGGGGTGTACATGCTAAACTACATGGTTTCCTAACATGTTATCAATCACAGAGGCTACTGGGGGGGGTCACCTTTCTCCCGCTGATGGTAGTTTCTAGGGGGTTGTTATGGGTCTTCATGGTCAGGCATTAGGCCTCAAACATTCTTTGGTCTTTCCAGGCACTAGCGTAACTGAGTCAGGGACACTTGGCGCTGCAGATCTCTCCTGTTACCAGACAAACAACTCAGCAGGGTGGCTAGTGCCTAGGAACACTCTGTGGTTTTTTCCAAGGACAAGGGTCACTTTGGACAGGCCTTGAGGTAAAGGCTGGTTTAATTTTTTTTTTTTATATTTATAGTGGAGTCACATCAGTTTCTCATCAGCAGCTGAGAATCCAAGGTTCAGCTCTGCTCCTGCAAAGCAATGTTTTTGTGGTCCTTAGGCTGGTTTTGCACAGCCTAGTCCAAATTCTAATTTTTGAGCTTGGGGAGCCCCACATCTGCTTGGTCTCCAAAATGATAGTGCACATCTCAAGACCTGTATTCTGGGGAGTTGGGGTGAGGGACAGGGATTAGCACTGATTGCCGTCCTGGGGCATAGGGAAGCTCTTCACAGCTTGGACCCAGGGTGGACAGTGTGGTGGTGACTTGCCTTGGGTATGAGGTATCACTTGTTGAGAGGGGTCTTCAAGTGGAAGCAAGGGAAAGAGATAGGTGTGGCAGTGGGCCCCAGCATTGACTCTCTTTATGCAGGGATGTGGTATACAGTAGTTCCCACTGTTGGGCTAGGGTACAGTCTTAGCTCCTGCTGTAGGGCGAACACTGCTGGGCTTTGTAGGCTCCAGCCAATCCTTCAGTGGGATTTAGCTAATTTATAGCTCTATCACACACATTCTGATTGATATGTGTGCACATTTGAAATGATCAGTGCAGTCAAGATAATCACCATAGTCATCATCTCTCATAGTTAACATGTGTGTGAGGAGACCTTAGGGTCTGCTGTCCCAGCCAACTGCAGGTACATCCCAGAACATGTTGCCCACGGTCATCATGGTATGTGGTAGATATCCAGACTTGGGTATATGACAAAGTTAAGACTGATGTATTTACTTATCCATTTCACTCTATTGATACTGCCGGTTACCAGGAGAGTCCTTGCTTCCCAGACTGCTGAAGTATAACACCAGAGAAGCACCCGAGGAAAGTGTAGAGTGGGAAGTATAAGGCTTTATTAAAGAATAGGAGAGGGGCTGGGGTTGTGGCTCAAGCGGTAACACGCTCACCTGGCATGTGCGGGGCCCTGGGTTCGATCCTCAGTACCACATTAAAAAAAAAAAAAAAAGATGTTGTGTCCACCGAAAACTAAAAAATAAATATTAAAAAAATTCTCTCTCTCTCTTTGGAAAAAAAAAAAAAGAATAGCAGAGAAGACACCCCCCCCAAAGGGATCGGAGCTCTTATCCCTTTATTTCTAAGGTCTTCTTTTGTCTTCCTACATTTCTGTCCTTTATCTTGCTTATTTCCCTTTATCCTGCCTGGGTTGGGAGATCAGGTGGGAAGGCCAAAAGATGGAAAATAGGTGGGCCAATGGGGAGAGACCTGGGCAGAAAGGGCCTAGGGGGATTTGATTAGCACCTTCCTATTTGCTGGGAGCTACTTCATTAATAGTTCTTTAGCATGGGGACATTAACATTTCAATCTCTCAGGTGTAGTTCTGATTTCTCCCGGGCTCAGATTCGACTTCATTTTCTTTATTAGATTTGGTATCAGACCTGATTTATCTAGCTACACTAACTACACATCTTTAAATTGACTTCACTATCGTGCATATAAATTAGTGTTAAAATTATTAGTCCATTTCATATGAAATGTGAAGATACTAAATATGGTATTCATTTATAGTTCTTTTTGTTTTTACCCTGTGTTCAGATAAAGCTGTCTTACATAATTACTTTGCTGTGTTTTCCTTCCCAATACCTTTCTCCACACTTTATTATTTATTTAATAAAATAGCTTTATTTTTGTATTTTGTACTCTATTTTCTATTTCTCCTACAATTTGGTTGATACTTTAAAAGAGAATATAACTTTTATTTTATTTTTGTTTTCATGCCAGTTATAAAATTCCTAGTATTTTTTTTCTTTAAAAATTAAAAAAAATTTATTTTCATTAGTTTTACATGACTGTAGGATTCATTTTGACACATTGTACACAAATGGGGCACAACTTCTTCCTCTGGCTGAACGTTATTCAGAGTCACTCCAGTAGTGTAATCATACATGTGTACACGGTAGTAATGTATGTCTCATTCCACCATCCTTCCCATCCCCACAGCCTGTCGCAATGGGCGAAAGGTTCAACTTAAGCAGTGGAGGGGGAGAAATAAAGAATGTCCACATGCTTTTGCCCTTTTCAATGCTTTATTCATTAAATCACTCAATACAATTTCATCTGTAGGTTCTTAATTAAGAAAACGACAATCCTTAATGCTAGGCACTGCAATAGACATAATCATTTCACAGCAGATAATTCTAGATTAATTAATTCACAGCAAACATTTCTAGATTAATTAATTCACAGCAAACAATTCTAGATTAATGAATTCTAAGCATTGCAAACACACTTAATCATGACAGACTTGTGACGGACTTTCCTTCTCCATGCTAAGTTCATGTGTCAGATCAAAAGTCTCAAGCCTTAGGCTTTAAGTCCAGCAGATGCACACTCACTCAGACCGTGGTGATCAGGTCTGGAGCCAAGGCAGGCTTCTCCTGGGGTACAGCTAGTGGCCGCCTGAGGAGGTGGTCCTAGGGAGAAGTTGTGGCTCTCACCAGGGTCAAGATGTGGCTGTAGAGTTTGAGAGCGGTGAGGACCAGGCAGAGGATCAGCAAACGATGACAAGTGATGGGATGTCAGTCCAGGACCTCATCAGGCTGTCCAGCTTCTGTGCATCAGTATTGGCTGGCTGAATATCTGCTCATTTGCTCTATTATTTATATTAAATTTTGGGGCTTTTGACTCCCCTTTCAATCCTTATCAGTTACCACCAGATTTCTCTGTGACATCATTTACCCTGGAGTTAAAACATCTGGTCTGGTGGTCCCCACCCTATTCTTTTCTCCTTTCCCTCTTATCGGGTGAGGACAGCCTGCCGGAGGCTTTACTCTGAGTTTATCTGAGTGGGGGGAAATGACTTGTTTGTGTCTGAGGGCCATACTGGAGGGCTCTGTGGGTGTGTCTGGTGAGACTGCAGGTTTCAAATTGGAGTTTTTAAAATGGAGTTGTTAGGCTCAGACCCAAGACCATCCTCACACAGTCCCTCCCCCTTCCTTCACTCCCCTCTGCACAATCCAAAATTCTTTCATTCTTCCCTACCCCCTCCCCTGACTATGAGAATTCCTGGTATTTTATTTATTTTATAATAGATATTTCATCAAACCTGGATGCCCAAATTCAAAGCTGTAAAAAGTAGCCTGGCATTTACGCTCATTTTGGCTGGAGGATGGAAGGCGATTCCTCTGCCTTCTTCTCAGGCAGGTTTTCTCATCTTCCCATAGGGAAGTACTTGGACATGGGCCTAGTTATTTCCAAACAAAAACCCAAATATTTCTGATATCTGTGTCATTTTCTAAACCTATCCAAACACACCCGATCTATGGGGCCCCCAAATCCTTCCCTCCCTGCCGCAGTCTGGCTGGGCACACAATCACGAGCCACCACACAGCTTGTAGATTCAAACAGCAACTCTTTATTCCCGAACTCACACCAGCCGTCTACAATCACGTTCTGGGGAAATCCACGTTCTCTGCCCAAATCCACCTTCTCTCCCAAAATCACCTCCACTGGGCTTCTATCTCCAAAATATACTGTCTGAATCCCGTGAGAACTCAAGGGGAACTCAGGCAGCAGGATACGCCCTATTCCCAGCAGGAATAATCTTAAACCTTAAACCTGGAACCTAAACTGGGAACGCCCTAAACAAGATTATCTTAAAACCGGGAACACCCTAATCTGCCTTGGTCCTTGAGCAAGGTTAAGTACATTCAATGTCACTGCAACATGGGGTACGCTGGCAAGGAAATTGTCATACTTACTTGGCTAATGGCTCCCAGCATCTCCCCCCTTCTGATTAATTAAACAACAAGCAATGCGGCTTAAGGACCGTGCCTGGTAGGTTGTCCAATTCAACATATGGTTCTTACCCGTCATCGGAAAACTGACCTTTAGGCGTCAGCCTCCTGTCTTAGGTTGATACCACTGCAATTGAATCATACCCGTCACTGACTACCGGTCCAGCATACAGCCATACTTGTGGATAGGTCTATGCACCAGTGGGGGGGTGAGGTTCTTTGCCTCACCTCTGTTGGCCCCCAAATTTGGCCTTGGTGCCAGTGGGGGAGTGAGGTTAATGTGGCTTATGGACCGTGCCTGGTAGGTTGTCCAATTCAACATATGGTTCTTACCCGTCATCGGAAAACTGACCTTTAGGCGTCAGCCTCCTGTCTTAGGTTGATACCACTGCAATTGGATCATACCCGTCACTGACTACCGGTCCAGCATAAGCCATTGGCCCCCAAATTTTAGACCATCACTAGCAGAAGGGAGGAGGATACAGAAATGCCACGACACCAAGCCAATTGACGGCTCCTTGGGAAAAATTGCATCACTGGTGACACCATCAGCAAAGATATGTCAGCACTACCACAATTAACATGGGGTGCGCTGGCAAGGAAATAAAAATTGCATCACTAGTGACACCATCAGCAAAGATATGCCAGCATTACCACAATTCGCTGCACCAAACGATAGTTACATAGTCCAGGCAAGTTCTGCAAGCAGTTCAAAGCAGAGGAATCTATCAATATGTCCATTTCCTCCCAAAATCCGTTTCCTCCCAAAGTAAGTTGACTCTTTGATTGAGCATTACTTGTTGAGTTCTTCACTGGCACTGGGATGGAGATAGGAATTCTGGCAATGATGCTAAAGAGACATTATCCTGAAAAGAATTATTAAATATAATGAAAAGGAAAGGTGAAAGTAAACAAACAGATCTGTTAACCTACTTTAAAAACAATCCTTAACAGCTTTTTACCTAATTTAAATTAGTAAACAAACATCTGTTAACCACCTTTAAAAACAATCCTTAACAGCTGTTTACATAATTTAAATTAAACGATTTAAATCACGTGAATAAAAAAATAATAATAATTCGGATCCATTTTTTCATGAGCGCTCCTCATATAAGAAATATGGACATACGCACATACAGACATACAACACAAAACACAAGAGTGTACACAAACGTACAACACATAAGAAAATAGTAAAGGCCTTGTAGCTTTACCTGGGTGAAATCTCCATTGCAATGTTTAAAAACTCCACAGTCAAAAAATAAAACTGATCAGAAAAACATTAACCTAGGTTTGTATGAGCTCAAAAAATAAAAATAGAACCTTATGATGTGGAAAAATGCAATAATAAAATAGCTATTGAAAAAAGCATCCTGGTTAATCACTGTCGCAGATGTAAGAATGGCCAAGCTGGAGTTCTGGATATCAGCTGTTATGGATTTGAGTCAAATCATCTTCTTTTCGATCTGTAGAAACTGTTTTAGTTAATCTCTCTGGAATCCAAATGGGCTGCTGTTCTCCCTGTGGAAAAACACAAACAGACCCCCGACTCCAGACAATCACTGGGTCAGGACCTTTCCATTGTCCTGTTAGAATATCTTTCCAAAGTACTTTAGGCTTATGTACATTTTTTGGATACATATGCCTTTCCGCAGCACTAAGTCCTGATGAATCCAAATTTAAAAAGTTTAGAGTAAAAAGCGTTATTTTAAGTTTATCTTTGGGGGATATATATCCCCTTCCAATTCCCTCTTTTTGCTTTAATAAGTATGTTTTAATAGTTTGATGAGCTCTTTCAACTATGCCTTGTCCCTGTGGATTGTATGGGATTCCTGTTATATGAGTAATACCAAATGATGAGCAAAATTGTTTAAAAGAGGTAGAGGTATAGCCAGGACCATTATCGGTTTTTAACTGTTTAGGAACGCCCACAGTGGCAAAATTTTGTAAGCAATGAGCTATAACATCTTTAGTTTTTTCTCCGGCATGAAGGGAGCCCATCAAAAATCCAGAAGAAGTATCGACTGTAACATGTAAATATTTTAATTTTCCAAATTCTGGCAAGTGTGTGACGTCCATCTGCCAAATATGGTTAGGTATCAGTCCTCTAGGATTGACTCCAAGATTAACTTGTGGTAAAAATGTCACACAATTTTGACATTGTTTTATTATATGTCTGGCTTGTTCCTTAGTTATTTTAAAACGCTTTTGTAAAGTATTAGCATTAACATGAAACCTTTTATGAAAATTTGTAGCTTCTTCAAATGTAGAGAAAATATGTATGTCATGTGTAGTTTTATCTGCTAAATCATTGCCTAAACTAAGGGCTCCAGGCAATCCTGTATGTGCCCTAATATGTCCTATAAAGAATGGATCTTTTCTGTCCCAGATTAGACTTTGTATAGTGGAAAACAAAGAGAAAACAGTAGAAGAAGGGGAAATCCTACCAGCATCTTCAAGAGATACTATAGCATTAACTACATACTGACTATCAGAAAATAAATTAAATACAGAATCTTTAAACATCACAAAAGCTTGTAAAACTGCATTAAGCTCTACCTTTTGAGCTGATTGTTTGGGTACTAAAAATGTAAAAGTTTGATCAGGGGTAACTACTGCTGCTGTACCATTATTTGACCCATCAGTGAATATATTTGGAGCATTCATGATAGGTGTTTTTCTTGTCATTTTAGGAAAAACTACAGGATGCTTAGACCAAAAAGACAACAAAGGATTAGATGGTAAATGATTATCAAATGAAACATTAGATTTACACATGATTATTGCCCAAGTATTTAACTCATTAGCTAACTCATCAATTTGATCCATAGTATATGGAGTAATAATTTTATTGGGAGAAATTCCAAACACTCCCTTCGCTGCTTTTATTCCTTTGAGTATTAATTGTCCTACAGCCTCAGGATACCTAGTAAGAATAGTGTTAGGAGAATAAGGTAAATGTATCCACAATAATGGACCTTCTTGCCAAAATACTCCTGTAGGAATATTTTTTGTTGGTAGTACAATAAATAATAAAGGCAAACTTATATCAATTCTATCCAAATGTATGTTTTCCATATATGTTTCAATAATTTTTAATGCCTTTCTTGCTTTAGGAGTTAACATGCGGGGTGAATTTGGATCTGATGGACCTTTTAGAATATCAAATAAAGGTCCCAATTCTCCTGTTGGTATACCTAGATAAGGCCTTATCCAATTTATGTCTCCCAATAACTTTTGAAAGTCGTTAAGTGATTTGAGTTGATCTACTCGTATTTGAATTTTTGGTGGACGGACCATGGTTGAGGATAGTAGAACTCCTAAATAATTAATTGGAAAATTTAATTGTACTTTATCTATTGCTATCTCTAGATTATAATTTTTTAATAAGTTTGTAAGTGTGGCATAACATTCCAGCAATATGTTTTTATCTTTATGTGCCAATAATACATCATCCATATAGTGAAATATTTGTAGTTCAGGATTTTGATTTCTAAGTGGCTGGATTGCTTTGTTAACATATATTTGACACATAGTTGGACTGTTAGCCATCCCTTGAGGGAGTACTTTCCATTCATATCTCTGATCAGGACCTTCATGATTTAATGCAGGGATAGTAAATGCAAAACGTGGACTATCCTCGGGATGAATTGGAATTGAAAAAAAACAATCTTTAATATCTATAGCTAAAACATGCCAGGTTTTTGGCAAAGCAGACAATTGAGGAATCCCTGATTGAGCAGGTCCCATAACAACCATCTCATTATTAATGGCTCTTAAATCTTGCAATAATCTCCATTTACCAGATTTCTTTTTGATGACAAAAATGGGAGTATTATGGGGAGATATGGAAGGTTGTATATGTCCTTCCGTTAATTGTTGTTTGACCAGATCATGGGCTACTTGTATCTTTTCTTTAGTCAGGGGCCACTGAGGAACCCACACTGGTCTTTCTGATTTCCAAGTAATTTTGATTGTCTCAGTGGCCCTTTCTGAAAATCCAACCCATGTCTGTCTGTTCCTTGATCTATTTGTACTGGTGCTGCTATACCTTGCCCTTGTTTTCCTAATCTTTTTTCTTTCCTAAAGCCTTGTCTAGCTCTAGTAGTGGGCACATTAGGATTGATATTATTTGTTAACGTCAAACCTAATTGATCTAGGACATCTCGTCCCCATAAATTTATAGGAAGATGATCCAATACATATGGCTGTATAGTTCCTTCACATCCTTCAGGATCCTTCCAATCTAATATCATAGAACTTCTATGGGGATTAGTCGCCACTCCTAGGCCTCGAAGCGTTTGAGTGGCTTGTTGTAATGGCCAATGTTTTGGCCATTCTTGACGAGATATGATGCTAAGGTCAGCTCCTGTGTCCAGTAGCCCATTAAACTCATGACCTTGAATATTTAATTTTAGCATTGGGCGAGAATCTAAATTTAAAGACAACATAGCCCAATCTACACCTGTGGAGCCTAATCCCCTGGAACCTCTTTCTACACTATGACTAGGAAATTTATTATGTAGGCTGGGTATTATTAACAACTGTGCTATTCTATCTCCAGGTGAAATTACTGATATACCTCTTGGAGAACTAGCTATAATTTTTATTTCACCTACATAATCAGGATCAATTACCCCAGGACTTATCATAAGTCCTTTTAATGTAGATGAACTACGTCCCAATAATAAGCCTACTGTTCCTTGGGGAAGAGGTCCTTTTACTCCTGTGGGAATGATTTGAACTCCCATCTCTGGAGTTAATACTGCTCTGGCAGAGGCACAGATGTCCAACCCTGCGCTCCCTCGGGTTTGTCTGATGAGGGATTTAATGGACAATGTGTCCTGGGCACTACCCTGATGGTGTTGCTGGGATCCTCCACTGCCCCGTATATTTGTGGTTGTGGGCCCCGGAGCATTGGGCCCCCCTGTCCGTTTTTTGGCAATGGAGCCTGATGCCTTTCTCCACGATATCTTGGATAAATACCTGGTCTTTGTCCGTTTTTTGATAAGGGAGTACCTTCTATGGTGGTTTGAGAACGGCATTCATTAGCCCAATGTCTCCCTCTACGGCATCGTGGGCAAATACCTGGTATTCTATTCCTTTGATACCTACTTTTGTTAAACCCTCCTCCTATGGGGCAATTCCTTTTAAAATGTCCTGTTTGTTCACAATCATAGCATGTTTTTGGCCTGGCATCTAAAGCCTGTTGTACTGCAGCTGCCAAGACTTGCCCTTGTTCATTAATATCTCTACATAATTTAATATATGTGTTTAAATCTTCATGTCTCCATGGTCTAATAACCTCTCTGCAGCAACGATTTGCTTGGTCATAAGCCAGTTGTTTTATTAATGGCATTGCTTGTTCTGTATCCCCAAAAATTTTGGCAGCCGTTTGAATTAGCCTATCTACAAAGTCAGCGTAAGGTTCATTAGCTCTCTGTATTACCTTAGATAGCTGACCTTGTAAATCTCCATGTCCTTGTAAAGTCTTCCATGCCCTAACTGCGTCTGCAGCAATTTGTGCATATATAGCAGGATCATATTCAATTTGTTGCCGTTGACCCTCATAAGGTCCTTTTCCTAACAACATATCTAGATTTCTTTGAGGGTAACCGGCTGCTGCATTTCGCCTAGCTGTCTCCGTGCAAAATTCCTCATTGGCAACCTTCCATAACAAATATTGTCCTCCATTTAGTACAGATTTACACATGCTAGCCCAATCTGCTGGCGTCATGTCCAAGTTAGTAATGGACTCAACCATGCTTACCGTGAAGGGAGCTTGGGGACCATAGGTTGTTACAGCCTCCTTTAACTGCTTCACTGTTTTAAAATCTAAAGCACGGTGAATTCGCTGCCCTCCTGCCTGTTCAAGTACAGGGCATGCTAATCTTTGAGGTCCTGTCTCAGGATCCCATTTATCAACTACGGGGTTTGAGGGCCACTCAGCTGTCTCCATCGGTGGGGCTGTTGGTTGAATTATGCCCTCTTGTGATAAAATGGAGTTAGTAACAGCCTCCTGTTGTGGCCTTTTTCCTAACAACCCCTTTTCCTTTAAATTTTCTTCCTCTGTCTGACTAGCTCGAGAGACCTTCTCTTTTGCTTGATCTAAAATGTCTTTCTCCATGGTCTGAACCTCTAACAATTTACTTAACATCTTTTCGGTTTGTTTTTTACTAATTTCTAATCTACTATAAAGATAACGCAACCCAATAAGATAGCACAAAACAAAGCCGAAACTGAATGAAACAAAAACGGAATAAAAAATCGTTGTATCAATTTTCTCTTCCTCAGGGCCGACAAACTTCAAACCTTTAGTCAACCATTTTTTCCAGTTTGCCTGAGAAATTTCTAGGGATAGGCAGCTTGAAACAAAAACAAGATAAATCAAAACAATAACACATTGTTTTTTGAGTTGGTCACCCATTCTTTCGCTCTTCCTCAGGGGCGAGCAATTTCACTTACCTCTAAGCTTCAGAAGTTCCCCGTACGGGCCACCAAATGCCGCAGTCTGGCTGGGCACACAATCACGAGCCACCACACAGCTTGTAGATTCAAACAGCAACTCTTTATTCCCGAACTCACACCAGCCGTCTACAATCACGTTCTGGGGAAATCCACGTTCTCTGCCCAAATCCACCTTCTCTCCCAAAATCACCTCCACTGGGCTTCTATCTCCAAAATATACTGTCTGAATCCCGTGAGAACTCAAGGGGAACTCAGGCAGCAGGATACGCCCTATTCCCAGCAGGAATAATCTTAAACCTTAAACCTGGAACCTAAACTGGGAACGCCCTAAACAAGATTATCTTAAAACCGGGAACACCCTAATCTGCCTTGGTCCTTGAGCAAGGTTAAGTACATTCAATGTCACTGCAACATGGGGTACGCTGGCAAGGAAATTGTCATACTTACTTGGCTAATGGCTCCCAGCACCTCCCTCCCTCCTTACTTGGGTCACCCTGGTTTATTTACTTAGTTTGCCCTCTTAAATTCCCCATACAGCAAGTGTGGCTCTTTCAGTGTATTTCTGCAGGTGTAAAAAGCTATTTCAGTCAGGACATATCCCGTTCTGTCACATCCAAGCTGTCTTTCCTTGGGCCTCTTTATCTCATCCTCTTTGGTACCAACCACACTGGGTAACATTTTGGCTTCGGAAGACCACCGGATGTCTGGAGACTGTCTCAGTTTTCTTCCATGTGTCTTGGCATTCTGGCTGTTTTGCATTTCTGTGTACATAAACATATAAAAATTTTGTTTCTGATTGGGATTGCATTGAATAGATCGTTTTTCAATTTAAGCAATGGAAGGCACGGGTCCTGTTTCTGGCATGGAATTGTTTTTTCTTTCATCTTCTGAAGCTGGGGATGGAGCTCAGGGACTCCCCTGCCCTGCCCTGTACAACCTAGCCACACCCCTGGGGCTGCCCCAGCCGACTCCTCTTCACGGATGCATAAGGTAGCATAGGATTTAGAGTACATGCTGTTTATGAACTGGTGAAAGCAGATCGGGTTGGTTCCCTCTGTGATCCTGCATCTAAATGACTGTCTTTTAGCTACCAACCCGTGGTCGACTACATAGATGCTCAGTTCGAGGCCTTCCTTCAGGAGGAGCTGCGGATCAAGCGCTCCTTCTTCGAGTACCACGACACCCGCGTGCACGTGTGCCTGTACTTCATCTCTCCAACGGGGCACTCGCTCAAGTCGCTGGACCTGCTGACCATGAAGAGCATCGACAGCAAGGTGTGGTGCGTGGGCAGCTCCCTCGGGCTTCCAGGTTTAAGGTTTATTGTGAGATGATGACATTTGGAAGCATATTGAATGCATGCGAGAGCAGGTTAATAGCCTTTTGTTCTAAGGTGTTTGTACTGGTTGGCGGGGCTTCAGGCCCCAAGGCTGCAGGCTGGTTTAAGCAGTGGAAGGTCATAGCTCCACCTTCCCGGAGGCCACCCCCTCCCTGCGGTCAGGACCTCAGCAGCCCTGCTTCCTCTGAAACCCATCTTCTTGCTGGCAAGCCCGCCTCTTGATCATCAAGATCTTTCTGCTGGCGTCTGTTATGTCCAGGTTTCTTATGAGGACATCTGTCAAATCAGGTTATATGCTACCATAACAGCCTCTTTATTTAATCACCTCTTAAAGCTTTATCTATAATTACAGTCCCATTCTGAGGTACAGAGTATTGGGGCTTCAGAACATGCATTTAGTGGGGAGAGAAAATTCAATATTTAATTAATTGCCACTTTATGTTCCGTATACATTTAATTAAAAAATCATAAATAGAAGGGGAGATGTATGTAAAAACACAAAATGAAGCTTTAGTTAACATTTTTCTGTGATTAAATTCTAGTTTGGATCCTGTCTGCTTGCCTACATTTTTGAAATTGAGTTTACTGTGTGGTGGTATAAAACAATCCTGTAATCTTTGAGTGGTGCGGCTGGTCATGCATGATTCTGCACACAAGCATTTCCAGAGGGGATTCAGAATGCAAGTCCATGTGTGCATCAGAAAGGAAGTAAAGAGCCAAAAAGATATGCTTTTTCTAGCAAGAGCTTGGGACACATGTGGCTTCATGCTAATAGTCTGCTTATCCACAAGGCTTTGGAAAAGTACTGAGGACATTTATAAGCCCTTTTTATTTGATTAAATTCTCTAACAATTTATTAGTTTTTCATAGTTTAGTTTAAAAGTGTGGAAAATGTTTTATTAGATGAATAAAAAAAAAACCACAGCATACAACTCTGTAGTCTTATGGGAGACATGTAATGTATACACCAAGTTCACAGCAGGGTTTGGTGGTGTGCACCTGGAATTGCAGTGACTCTAGAGGCGGAGGTGAGAGGACATGTTTGAGGCCAGCCTGGACAACCTAGCAAGACCCTGTCTCAAAGTTAGAAAAAATAAAAATGGGCTGTTGACAAAGCTTTGTGGAAGAGCACCCCTAGGCTGAACCCCCAGTATCAAAGTAGATTAATAAATGATAAATCTCCCAGGTTTGCGGTCAGTGCAGGTTTAAACACTTGCTTTACTTCGTTAGCTTTCTGTGACCTTGTCTCCAGTGGCTGGGGTTTAAATCACGGGTGGGGGTTTAAAGCTTTTTCATTTCAACATCTGACCCCACCCAGCTAATGAGTGTGGCTTTGGGAAAATTACCACACTTTGATTTCTTCCTCTGACTATTTGTACAATTCTTATGTGAGAGTATTAAATTTAAAGGTATTTTTTAAATAGAGATTTTATATATATATATATATATATATATATATATATATATATATATATGAATGAAGCTATCTCATCAGTTTTTTTTTTTTTCACTCAGCTCTGGTGAAACATAGTGTCTTTAATTTTATCCAACTGATCAGAGAAAAATCCCTAAATTTGGGTTCTTTTTATCTAAAAAAGTCTTAACTTTTGTTAAGTATTGTTCGGTCTGGATAAAACTTTGTATGTAATCTCAAATAACATCAAGTTAAAGAAATTAAATTTCTGCTGAAATTAAGATCTTCCTCAATTTATTGATTAAAAGTACATTCATAGTCTAGGACACCATTTTATATTTAACTCTGTGGTGATCTGTTATTTCAGGCTGTTTTACAGGTGCGGGAAATCTCTAGCTTTGACAGGTACAGTTGCTAAACAGATGGGTAAAGATGACTGTTCATTCCTGGTGTTCCCTTCCAGGCTTTAAGTTCTCTGTGTCATAGTGTGTTTTCTTCACTGAATATGAACACCTGGGAATTGCTGACATAGAAAGTTTCCATTTTCATAAATGGATCATTTACTGTCACAACAACATGTCTTTTCCAAGTTTCCTTACCAACACAATTCCAACACTTCACTTTAGACTTGAATCTACTGCCAATTATCTACTCTTTACTCTGGAAAATATTATTTGTAGATATTGAAACCATGCCAAAATTTGAACATCTATGTTATAATATTAAAACCTTGGATTTTCTCCAGGAATTAAAAATGGTGTGCTTTGAGAAATCCAGGCAATCTACCTAAAACTGATATTCATTTATTTATACTATATAGATTTTAACGTGTGCAGATATGATTTAATAAGATATTTTAACAGTAATATCATATATTTTTGAATTTTTCATATTGTTATTTCCTACAAAATTTATTTGAATGTAAATACTTGAAGAAAGTTGTGATCATTTTATATAAGTAGGAAAATGCTTTTAAGTAAAAACTCAAACTCAAATATGCAGAAATTTAACTCAAACGTGGAAATAATTTCTTTATGCAAATTACAAATGTACATGTTTGTTAGTGAGGTCTTCTCACTCTCTCTCTGTCACACACACATACACACCCCCCCGCCCCCCACATGTGCAAGTTGGCCATTATAGTTTGGTAACCAAAAAATATCCACATTATTTTCAGGTAGTGTTTGAAAAATATAAGCAAATTTATCTTCAGGGGAATACAGGTAGGACAAGAGTGTGTAAAAATGGGAGACTGATTAATTTGTATCCATGGGGTAGGTGATTGCATGATTGACAGATGAAAGGGAAATTCCATCCTTTCCTCAATTTTAATGAAAAGTGTCTTGCTCTTTTTAAACTCTGTTTAATAAGAAATAAAACTGATAACAAAGTAAACAGTCCATCTGATTCTATCCTTTAAACTTTACTAACTTCAAATGTGTTGGAAGTGTAAAAGAGTTTAAAAGAGAAATAAGATTGAGACTTTGGGAAACAATTTTGTAAGGAAGAATTGACAGCCAGTGATTATCTAGTTACACAGATTTACTTCCAGAGCCTGTGAGATTTAGACTGTGAAAACTACAGAATGAACAACAAATATTCAAGGCCAAATTTTGTCTTCCTTCTTTGAAGGTGAACATTATACCATTGATTGCTAAAGCAGACACAATTTCTAAAAACGACTTACAGAAGTTTAAGAGTAAGATAATGAATGAATTGATCAGCAATAACATCCAGATATATCAGTTCCCATCAGACGATGAAACTACCGTTCAAGCAAACTCCTCAACTGTAAGCTCCTAGTTGTTGAATAATAATTCTCTCTCTGTGTGTGTGTATGTATATGTGTGTGTGTGTGTGTGTGTGTATATATATATATATATATATATATATATATATATAAGCTGTAGGTGGCCACATACCTTTATTTATTTATTTATTTTATGTGGTGCAGAGGATCGAACCCACTGCCTCACACATGCCAGGCGAGCACTCTACCGCTGAGCTCCAGCCCCAGCCCTAATAAATCTGTTTTAAAGGTGGAAATGAAGTACGATTTGTGTTACACTATTAGAAAAAGACCATTACCTGTAAATTACAGAGACAATAAATCATATATACTATATATATATGAAATATCATATATATATATATATATATATATATATATATATATATATATATATATATATATATATTTCTAAAATCCAGATTGGGGGAATGTTTTATTTTCTTGATTTTGAAAAATTTTGCCAAGAGTCAATTTTTAGCATCTTTATTTAGATTTAGTTTAATATCACACAGTTCACCCACTTAATTTCTATAATTCAGAGATATTTAGTTTACTTGCAGATCTATGCAGCCATTTTGACAGATTTAGAACATTTTCATCACTTTAAAAAGAAATCCCATATCTGTTAGCTCTTCTTCTACTTACCCCCCAGCTCTACCTTTCCTGCCCAGTTCTGAGCAACCACTAACTTACATTATATTTCCATAGGCAGATTCCTCTGTTTTGAACATTTTATATGAATGGAATCACATATGTCACTTTTTGTATTAGTCTTCTTTCACGTAGGATAATGTTTTAAAGGTCTATCAATGTTGCAGCATGTATTCATTCCTTCCTGTGGCCAAACATCATTGTATGAATACATCACATTTTTACCCATTCATCAGTTGAATGGATATTTGAG